TGTCAACTTGGATCGGCTCTTTATAATTTTAAAGCCCCCTTCTTCCACCAGTTCCCGATTCAGAAAATGTTGTTTTCATGTCAAATGTGACAAATCCTTTCAGTCGAGGACTTTTACTTCGTGGAAATCGGACAGCTTTGATCTCCATCAGCGACAGATAGTAAAACAATTTTCAACGACAGCTGCAGACTCAGAATGGAATATTTTCACTTTCTGTCTGTCCCACGTCCAACAAAGCCCATGCGCATCAAAAACAGTGCTCATTTCAAAAGGTTCAGTATCTGAAAGCGACACGTCATCAGGATCCGATTTTTCGTCCGTGTTTGAGAAGTTGTTAGTTATTCATTCTGGTTTTGTAAAAAATGAACCATCTTCCCGCGGCTTCCATTATACCGAGTCGACAGGCTAATTGTCGAGTCATAATTCATGAATCCGTCCCCACCTCCCGCCGACTTCCATTAGGCTTGTTGCTGCCAAAAGCGAAAAGAAAAGTTTCCGAATCGCTTCAATTTTTATCCCGCTTATCCGACCGTGTCAGCGCTAAAAGCATTTACAAATACTAAGCGATATCACCTGTCAAGGGTCGGCCGTAGATTTTTGGCCGGAGTTGAAGTGACTAAGAGATTCCCTTTTGCCGAACTGAAATCGACTCATTTTTTTCCAACGCCCTAGTTCGTGTCACCAGGCGTGATTTCCACTCACCCGTTTCCGCGGCAGTAGGCGGCACGATGATCCCGAGACAAAGCAAAGTTTTCCGGAAGTTTTTACACACATCTCCGGCCGGTCGGTGCGTACACGATACCAAGAAGCAAACACACGTTCCGCTCGATTAAATTTTACTTCACTCGTCGCGATGTTGATGTTGAAATTGGTGTTTTTCTTTCCTTGGTTTGGGGGGTGTGTGTGTGTGCGCGAGTGTGATTGTGAGTGCGTGTGTTCCTGTGCACGGACGATTGAACCAATTCAAATTTGACTTTCGTTCACCAAAATTTGCAAAAACGACGGTTACTCATAGACTGAGTAAAATTTTCCTCGATTTTCGAGGGAAAACTTTTCGAATATGAAAAAAATCGAAAGGTTTCACTCAGTCTATTAGTATACTCCTATACTGAGTAACATTTTCATCGATTTTTCTCATATTTGAGAAAGATTTTTGATGAAAAGCTAGGAAAATTTTACTCAGTCTAGGAACAACTTTCGTTATTGTGGTTTTGAGTAAAAAACCCCTCAATTTTGAGTCGATCTCATCGGTCGTGTGTAGCACAACATTTCCTATCCTATAGATAAGTGATCAAAGTGATGATGTGGAGCTTCTGGAAATTGATCCACACGTAATTGATTTGGAAATTGGATTTCTCCACTCATTTCTATTGTTACTGTTTAAAAGTCAGCCTTGGCAAAAGAGCAGTAGGTAGGCCACATAGATGCGTGTGAAACTGTCAAATCTCATATTCATTCAAAGAGAGTCTACAGCAGCTCTTTACTCTAATGCATTGCTCGCACTACAGAGAAATAACAAATCTGATACCAATGTACATTCAGTGCAATTTTGCACGAAATCCTCAATCATTTGATCCATGCTAGACCACCATACCTTAGCTCTCAACCTTCGTTTCATTCTTGTATCGGTATAGAGACTTAGACCATCATCGCGGATGGAAGGGTAACCATTTAATATCTTCTTGTAACTCTATGTCATTTTCCTTACCATCCAAGATTTCATCAATGGAAACAGAAACAGGACAAACATCGCTAGCTACTGTTCTAATGATCCTTTCTGATTCTTCATCAAATCACATTCCTAGATTTAGTGTGGACTGTCACAACCGCGACTATGGATCAGCTATGTTATTTTTCCCTTGTCGATATATAACTTTATAGTTATATGCCATCAGGCGTAGTTTCCAGCGTTCAATTCGTGGTGAAGGTTTTAGTCTATCTCCGAATATTGCAACTAATGGCTTGTGATCGGTTATTAGCCAAAACGATTTCCCATCCTTTGGATCATAAAATCCCAGTATCTCATCTTTGAGTAAAATAATCTTAATTCGTTAAAATTTATCTTGATATTCTGATTTCCAAATAAATGGGGTTCCTTTTCGTGTCAAAAGGTTTAGGGAATAAGTTATAAGAAACGGAAAATACTTAATCTGAATTTAAAAAAGACATTGTACTGACGAAAGTGCTCTTAAACCAATTTAGTTCCAGCAAGAAGCTCTTCCTTATCTTTTGCAGGGATCAAAATATCGTCAATGAACACAATAAGCCATGGAAAGTCAGCAAATATCATATCCATTACGGTTTGAAATAGTTCCGGAGTTGCTGAGAGACCAAACATTAATCGCTTGTATCTCATCAGTCCCCCTGAAGAAATGAAAGTGGTGATGTATTGACATTCTTTTTTCAAAACAATTTGATGGAAAGCTTGCTTGATATCTAGTTTTGTGAATAGGTTGTTCCCACCTTACTTTTACGTTATCTGCTCAAGCATTGGTGGAGGAGGAATTTCGCGAATTACAGCTTTGTTCTCCTCACGTAAATCAACAATAATGCGAACTTCATCAGAGCTTTTCCGTTTCACAAACATTGGTGAAACCCGCTCTGAGGCTTCGTTAACCCGTTCAATGATATTTTGATTTTCAAGCTCTTTTAATTTTTTTAAAGTGAGGTCTTCAAGCGGAACTGGAATTCTACGTAAGCTAGGTTTTTTTTCATTTACTCATATGTTTTGAATGTTCCATTATTAAGGAATAAAAGTTATTGCTTACCGATTATGCACGGAAATGTTTCGTTGTCATCTTTGTAAAGGAATTTCACCAAGTGTGAACCAGGAGTGAACATTTACCTCCATTAATCACGTAGAACTTCGTATTAAAGGACTTGTTGCAGAACCTCACTTCGGTTTCGACTTCTCCCAAAACTGTCAGTGGTTTGTTTGATCCGTAGCTGTTGAAAATTTTCGAGCTTCCTTTCTTGACTGCATAGGCCTCGAATCCAACCTGCCAGTCATCTTCGCTTAAGATGTCTTCGTCTGCGCCGGTGTCGATTATGAACATCAAAGGCACATCTCCGACTTCGATTCTGACGGTACGTTTTCCACCAAGATGAAATAAGTTGAAAACTGCATCATCCTTGTTGTTTCCGTTTTCAGCAGTAGCTTCGTGAACTTCTCGAACGAATCGTTTCTTCGCCTATTGTTGATATAATACCGGCTTTGATTGCTTCCTCCTCAGGAAACAGCAACGTGCAAAATGTCCGATTTATCCACAGCTTCGACATTTTTCGAATTTTGCTGGACATGAAGGATCGCTTGATTTGTGACGACTGTCGCACCGGACACAGCGTGGTCGGTTTCGAAACTTCCTCTCGGCGTTGATTTTATAGATGGATTCTTCACCTAGTTCGGTTTTAGTTTTATCCGTGTCTGGATTGGATATTTCGACAGTTTCCCATACAGCAAGTTGAAGGTCAACTGACTCGTGGCTGCGGCCTATTGCTAAAACCTGGTTAATAGTGTAATCCTTTTCCAACCATTTCCGTCGAAGCTGCACGTCGTTTGTAGTAGCAATTATTTGGTCTACAACCATGTTGTCTGTTTGATCACCGTAAATAAGCGTCGAAATTCTCTCCCAACGGAGCGCCTTGGAGCCCTCGGCCTCTTCAACGAACGGAGGAACGAGGTTGGTAACCTATACAATGAAATTTATAATGGATGATTAAATATATTTCCTGGCAAAGAATAATTCCTGGTCTAGACTTCGCTATATAAACAAACAACACTCTAATATAATGGGGTTATCCAGCCAGATTTTTCACTGGCTAGGATTTAGCCTTGTTCCGTTTAAGGTGAATCGCTGTGACATCCTTATTCTCAGAACCACTTCGAAGTTTTAAGTGCACAAATAACAGCTTCTACGACACGTGCAACATTCAAATTGTTACTCCACGTTTGCAGAACTACAGCATACATGAAGTAGCAATTTCAGGTAAAATGAAGCACCGATTTCCGAGATTTGTGTAATTGAAAATTCGAAGTGGAAGTACATGTATAGCCTACGTGGCGGCCATTTGTGGACTCCACAAGGAATCACCTTAACCTTTCGTTATAGAAATCATCCTATAGGCAGGTTCTATAACTCAGGTTTCTTACTGGCTCAGATTTAACAATCTTCCGCTCAACCTTCCATTACAGAATCCATCCTGCATTTCTGCTAGGTTCTATAACTCTTGGTAAACTACCATCGCTCAATAAGGGCTTTACTAAAATATGAGCATCGGGGTCTAGACCTTTTCAACTTCAGAAAACACAACCCTAATCATTCGACCATGGTGGGATTCATCCTGACTCCTGCAGTTCCCATAATCTCCACCGAGACATTCGATGAATTGGTCTTGTCACCTGCACTCCGGGTTCTAGTATTTCAGTATATCAAACGACATGACTTATCAGAATCAACCGCCGACTCCGGGTTTCGCAATAAAAAAAATCATATACGTACTTAATCCCTGAGAGTGGGTCACTGAATCGTCATCGTTGTGATAGCAACTACCTATCAACCAGCCCGGTGAGTACCAGGTACATTTCCTTTCTAGGAACTACCTTGTGGCCCATTGTATCAGAGTTTGTTTGAATATTTCCGAATTTTACCATTGGCCAGGCCATTGTATTCGAATTTCCTTCTTCCGATTTTCCTATCTTCCGAGTCTTCCAATTTTTTCAATCGTCGCCAAATGTAGAGTAGTAAAACAGGTCTTCACTCTTCGGTTTTCCAAACGATAATGCTTTATTTGATACACGTTATTTATTATTACAGTGAATCAAGGCTACTTTGATTTGTCCAGATTACTAAGATCCTACACTAAAGGCCCAAACGCAATGTGGACGGAAGCGGAACGGAAACTTTTGTTGAAATTTTATTGAACTAAATCAGGTAAGTAGTGCTCAAAAAGAAATAATTACTTTAGAGTCAAAATAGTGTTTTCCTTTCTACAGAGTTAACATGAAGCGATTACTGATTTCGAAGCAACCAAACGATGTTGGGCAGAACGACAAAAGTAAGAAACAGTACGACAAAAGAAAAGTGAAGGTCCGGAAATACGACGACAGTTACCTTGAGTTTGGTTTTACGCATAGTGTGGCAAATGGTGAAGATCGTCCTCAATGTGTTGTGTGTCTCAAATTTCTATCGGTCGAATCCATGCTTCCCAGCAAGCTGAGACGTCATTTGGAAACCCACCATCCAAATTTGGTCAACAAAGACAGAGAATATTGCCATCGCAAATTGACGGAAAATAAACAGCAACAAGCTTCATTTTCGCAACAAACCCACGTTAACAACAACGCGTTACTGGCATCATACAAAGTGGCGTATCGTGTTGCGCAGTGTAAAAAACCGCATGCAATCGCAAAGGAACTAATCTTGCCAGCCGCTATTGATCTTGTTTCAACCATGATTAGGGAGCAGACAAGTCACCAACTGCTGAAGGTACCTGTTTTGAACAACACTATTTATCGAAGGATCGATGACATGGCCAAGGTTATCAACTGTCAGCTCGTGGATTTGGTCAAGCTCACAAAATATGCTTTGCAGTTGGACTAGGCCACGGACAACCATAAAAACGCGCACCTGATCTGCTACGTCCGATTTATTCACAAGGTCAACTTTTGTGAAGATTTGCTGTTCTGCAAGCCGATTTCAAAAGGAACAATCGGCGAGGAATTGTTTAAAATACTCAATTCTTACATGGTTGAACATGGCATTCCTTGGAAAAACTGCGTCTGGATCTGCAGGGATGGAGCTCGTGCCATGTCAGGTCGTTTCCAAAGATTGCAAGCACGGGATTCACAGTAAAGCTCCGAATGCTGTGTGGACACAGTGCATAATTCACTGAGAAGCTTTTGCAGCGAAGTGCTGGGCCAAAGATATCAGTGATGTCGTGGACACGGTCGTTAAAGTGGTTAATTATGTGAAGACTCGACCGATGAAGGCACGGTTTTTCGCAAAACTGTGTGATGAAATGGGGGCAGAGCATTCGAATTTGCTATTTGACAGCAGTGCTCGATGGTTATCATTTGGGAACCCTCTGAATAGAATTTCCGATCTAAGGAAGGAAATTCATTCATTCCTAATTGAAGAAAATCACTTACATGTTGCCAAATTTGACGATCAAGATTTTATGGCAAAAATCGCTGCTTTCAAGAAAAAGCTTGAGCTGTGAAAAAACTACATACAAAATGTAGAGTTTACATGTTTCACGCAGCTCAACGATTTTCTTGCACGAGGATAACATTGTTATACCAAAAACGTTAATACATACTTTTCAAGATTTATTAATCCTGATGAATGTGGGCGCCTTAGTGGAATACCTGTATAATGAGACATACACGCGTATTTCATCTACAATGTGCAGACTTCTTCAGTGTCTTGTAGTCGAGTATTAGTATAAGACACTGAAGAAGTCTGCACATTGTAGACGAAATACGCGTATCTATCAAGGATAAGCAAATAAGGTAGTGGAATTAAATGGAAATTACTAATCCTTCTCCCTCTCATTAAGATTTATTAACCAAGTAACCAAGTCACCAAGTAACCAAGTATTTTCCTGAAACTAAGCTGGAAACTAAACTTTAGGTAAAAAACCTGTTTGTAGATGCAGTTCCAAAACTTTTCACATCTGAAGAAGCAACTGTTCCGTTGATTTGTCAACTGATTTTCGTATGAAAATCAAATTTAAAACATCGTCGCTGGTTGAGTTTTGGAGTCACGCAAAAATGGATTATCCACTTATCAGCGTGAAAGCTTCACGCGTTTTGATTCCATTTGCAACCTCGTATCTTTGTGAAACAGGATTCTCGGCAGTGGCTGCTATGAAAACCAAACATAGTTCGGCATAACATCTCTGATCACGCCTTCCTTCGGAAGGGAAGTAAAGCTGTTGGTCCCCGGTTCATAAGTTGATGGGTCGATAGATAGGGTTCAGGTGTGGGAGCTGTTGATAGCATTGGTGCTCAGCACGGAAAACAAGATCGACGGAAAACAAATCAAGGAAAAAAAATAAGACACCAAGAAGTTATCTCTTCAAAGTACCCTACAATAAGAGTTTGTCCTCAATTAACTCTAATCCCATATGGTACGTGTATTCGTTAATACCGGTTCTTATAGGTATCTAAGAGCAGTACTTTAGCAATCTTGACTGTATATGATTCAAAAATTAATTTTAAACGAGAAAGGTGATCTTTTGAAATTACCATTCTACTGAGTTCTGAGCATCTACTTTTCAACTGCAACATTCTAATATCTTGATGATCCAATCGACAGTCGGTTCTACGTAAATTTAGCATGGGATCTATTCAGCTGTCAATTCCAGCTCGAATTTGTCAAAATTAAAATCGCGACAAGATGACAATCCATTTACCCTCCTCGCAATTTCTCAATCCGGTCAACCGAGCTGTAAGCCAGCCAATGCGATGATAAATTACTTCTGACAACATTATTGTTCGTTTGAAAGATTGGCTACCGCCATGATTTTTTTTTTGTTTGCTCTAACTCCGTCCGTTGACGAAGGGCGAGTTTGCTGGGTAGAGGAATATCTTGTTTATCAAATATTTAATATAACAGAGAACGCGGTGGATTCAGTGCTACTCCCAGCAGCGGGGCGATACCCGAGTAGACGGGAATATCGAATCAATAGCAAGTTTGACTATTAAAACAGGGGAACAGAACATCATACATTGCTTTAAGCTTGAATGATATAAGAGGTTAAATTTCTTAAATTATATCAAAAAATGTATCGGACTATAAAAGAGTAATAGAAAAATCATAATAAATTAATATAACATTTTTCAATTTTATCTTGTCAAGCGTTGTTTAAATTAATCAATGCAATGATATATTTATAGCTTATTGTACTATCAGATCTAAATAAACTCTTGAATTCGTGATACACGCTAAGAAAAGATTACCGACTTAAGTAATGTTTACCGAGTTTTCAAAAGCTGAACAGCCAGTTCTTGAAAGCATCCTGGAAAATTATATAGGGGAAATGTAGGTAATGTCGGCCTAAGTGTCCCTAATTTGGACCCATACATAAATTCAGCAATTAACTAAATTTTCAATAGCGACCAAAAATATCCATTAGTACCGTAAAATTGATAAATAGCAGATTTTTACCGATGGGCCCAATCTTAGATCCATAAGCCATCATTAGAGCCATTTCCCTTACATACCTACATCATTTTTCTTGTCTATTTGATATATGTTTCACATCGAAGATGCGTCACACATATCAAAATGGCTAGGCCTACTGTGCTAAAGGACAATATGATTCAGAAAACATCGGGCCTGTTATTAAACACGATGCTTTAAAATCCAATAAATGGATGAAACGTAGACACCTCGTACCGTGCGTTCCGAATTTGGTTATTATTATATATTTGTTGGTCGTTGAAAGCATCAAAGCTAGAAAGGTTAAGTGATGCTCCATTTTCTTCTGACGGTTGGGGCATGAGCACTAACTCTTGTCCTAGCCTTTTATGACTTATGGCTATAGCGCCATTACCTGCTTTCTGAAAAGAGAAAAGGAGAAGGAAAAGGAGAAGGACAAAGGGAAAAAGATTATGTGAAATCTGTGAACATAAACAATATTTTCGATTTGAAATATACAATATAGAAATGAAGAACGCGGTGGTCACTACTCGAGTCTTGTCACTATTATCATGTCATAAAAGTAATAAGGACTAAAATGTGATCCTTTGATTACTGGAAAATCCTGATTCCCTAGTTTGAAGTTGTCACGACTAGGGTTCGGTGGTAGATCTTATACCAGTAACGTGATCTCCCAACGTTACTGGTTTGAAAAGATAAAAATTTACAAAATGGAACGAACTCACCAAGTTTAGCCAATTGAACCTGAAGGCTGCCTGACATGTGTTGTTGTAGAAGTCCAAATTTTAGACGAAGCTTGACGAAAATCAACATGAATTAGTCCGGTTTATGGTAGTTGCGCGTAATGACTTCCTTCGATTTGAGGTAAACAAATGTTCGGATGTATGTAATCGATTTTTGATGTGCATTGGCAAGCCTTTTCGTGGCCAATAGTCAGGTTCAACGCTGCGACTCAACGAATGATAGGACAAATGATGGAACGCCTCATGGAGGTTCTACTTGGCTTCGGAACAGCTTATCAGCGGCAAATAATAGAGAACTAGAAATTGTCTCCTGGGCCAGGTTATGGCCAGATCAGCAACCGATTATAGACAAAAAAAACTCCACGGAAAAAACCAAACGTCAGGTTGGAACACACGCACTGCACTGCACTGCAAACACCTTTTGAAATGAGGGTCAAAATTTTACCGAACGTTCAGCTGTTGAAAGTTTGGTAAATAATGATCGAAGTCGGTAATAATTTCCAAGTGTGTATGCTGTGATAGCCGAATAAGCTTTTAACTTGTTATAACTCACAACTTACCAATATCATGTTAAGATATAGATAGTACAATTCTCGATTACTTTTTCGAAGGGACGAATCTACTTTTGTAAACAATGCGTTTGATCGTCGATTTGGCGTAACTGGTGGCTCGCTCACGTATACTTATATCACTATCAGGTAGGGGAAGATTTCCCCTACCTGATGGTAGTGTTAGCAAGCATTGGGCGTGATTCACAAATTATGTCACGCAAAATTAGTCAAAAATTTACCCCCTCCCCCTCGAAGCATAATCTGCGTGGCGAAATATAATCCACAATGTGTACAGACCCGCTCTTTCAAACAATCTTTGAGCGACGGGCAATATTGCACTTTGAAACCGGAAAACGATTTCGGTAACATGTTGAAAATATCCATGGAGTTAAATAAAAACATCGAAGGAAAGTGCTGTGGCTCATCTCGAGCTGATCCTTTGAGTCCTTCTAAAGTCTGCGTGATGGATATTTGAGGAGGCAACGAATTTTTAACCATATGCTTACAGATCTGAACATTTCATTATTTGTAACATATATTGACTGGTTCTTACATGCTCAGCAAACCCATTTGTATCGAACTCATGAAGCAGGTCGGTATCGATTTCGGATACTTCAGGATCTATATACTCAGTCACTTTCGAGTATTCATCTACAACCAGTTGGTTCCAAACATTGGCTAGTGTTTCACCAGCATATTTGAAGTTCTTTTTTTCAAGTTCAATGTCTGTAGTTTTTAGCTGCGAGTCTAGGTGTGAACCGAAGTTGTCGTGTGGAATTATAAGTCCAGCCAAGTCCCTGCTTAATGGAGCCATTTTCTCTCAACTCTGTTATAGGCACTACGGCCGGGAGCATTGGCTGCAATGAATAATGCATCCAAGTTGAACTGCTTAAAGTGGTGAATGGCTGTTTTAATCACTTTCTTGTATCGTGGGTTCTCGTCTGGTCCTCCATCCACAACAATCATCATAACGGGTTTGATAAAACCACCAAATTTCAAAATTTCCTCGAGTGCATCAATTTACATCAAACGGTTCATGTCAACGGCGTGAGAAAATGCAGTAGATGAAGCATGCTTTCCTGATCTGATGGCAACGTAAGTAGGACCAGAATATCCTACTGCATCTGATCTTCGAAGACCGTTCCTCTTAATAACGATTCCGGTGTATACTGATGGAATCAGCTTGTGCTTGTTGGCCACTACCCAATCGTGATCTGGGAGGGTTACTTTGTATTCCACGTGCATTAACATTGGTGATTGTTTGGTGGCAGCCACCAAACCAATTACTACACGAGCCTTATCGTCCTGACTTAAAAAAGCAACTTCATCAGGTCCCAACAAAGATGCTACTTCCTCAAGTGCTCTTATTGTCGCTGTGCAGAACTTGCCGTCTTGGTGGTCGTAATGTTTGGCATTGCTTGCCCGTAGTAGTTTAACTGGAACCGTTTTGACATGCCTTTTCCCATCAGTGTTGTTTCCTGTGCGAGGGAGCAATCGCAAGTAGGTGGCAGATCGGCTGATGGTGAATCCCTTAATGACGTTCAATGCCGCAGTTAACTAATCAAGTGTCTTTATGCTTCTAATTTTTTCATCATGCCGTCTTTCCTGTGCTGCTGATCCGTGAAGAGCAATGTCGCAAATGGTTTTCAACAAATCGGGTTGGACATCTTCAACGCGTGGACGGCCGGGAGTAAGTTGTACTTTCAAATATTTACCTTAAAAAGTTATTGAATAAACGTTATTATATGCTTGCGAGTTTTAACTGCAGGCAAATCTTACCCGCTTCAGGAATATGCTCGAGAAGGTGCTGCTTAGCATGTTTGGCTTTGGCACGATATATTTGCTGTCGATCTTGTTCGCCCACCTTTGCCTTGAGGTTCTTTTCAAGTTGTTGTTTGTTTTATTTTTCATCTCCCGCAGCTTCCGGTTCTCATCATCAGTAGTAAGTCCGCTTGATGTACGCTCCATCAAAAATTGGATTTGACTGTTCAGATCACTTATTTCTTCTTTAATCCGATGTTGAAGGTGAGGGTTCTTTAGCATGTTGTTTTCCAGCAACCGCTACCGAAACACTTGGTTGTTGGCCAAACGAGCTCGTATGACCACCATCTGCAACATTCAAGGACTTTCCCCAGAACTGCAATAGCTGACCCTTTTTTCTCATGGCGCATCCATCCAACTCCTTGATTTTTTTTTTGATACATTTTCTTCCAACACACTTTTGTCCTGCTCCTTCTACAAATTCCAAAACGCGACTGCTTCGGACTGACACTGTTGCTTTGTCTTCTCCGGAAAAGCCTTTACAAACCCATTAAAAAGGGAAAGAAACAATTCGTTTCGATTCATTGTAGCTTCGAACTGCTTTCAATGAAGCACGCACTCAAACTGTTATGAATGAAAAGCTGTCAATCACCTATTGGCAAATCAAAGTTGGCACTCGTGGAGAATAGAAGAACTATGAAAGTGATGATGGTTTCAAAATTTTCCACGGGGAAGTATACGAGTGCAATCTTAAAATGCTTTTATTTTGAAAATGGAGCATTTTATTTAAATCTGGTTACTGCTACAGTGGTAGAAAAGCGGAAGTCTATGTTTACACCTAAAAATCTGAAAAAAAATTATGTTTTCTGTATTATATGTCTATTGAGTAGTCCTGAAATTTTCTACTAACGTAGCACTAACCAGATTTAAATAAAATGTTCCATTCACAAAATAAAAGCATTTTAAGATTGCACTCGTATACTTCCGCGTGGAAAATTTTGAAACCATCATCACTTTCATAGTTCTTCTATTCTCCACGAGAGCCAACTTTGATTTGCCAATGGTGAGGCAATGAGGTACAGGGAGAGGTAGCACAGATCGTGAGATAGGATTGTCTAGTCTAGTCTAGTCTAGTCTACACATACACAGCCAGTACTTGAAAGAATCCTGGAAAATGATGGAAATACATCTATCATTGCACATCAAGGATGTGAAACAAACAATAAAGCGGCCAGGCCTACTGTGTAGCGTTTAGTTAATTTTTGTGAAAGTGAATGTTTACCATGTCTACTTAATAAGTATAGACAGTGGTTAACATTTAATCCACAGGTAATCAAAGAGCGAGGACATACCGTACCAACCGCTCCGTATGCAGGATTTGAAAATAGGCTATATAAATCGTTGGGAGTGACAGAGCTAAGAAAGTTAATGTACACTCCTTGGTTGTCCGATCTCCTGGGATGGAATACAGGTATTTACCCCTTGTGTTCGAGCGTACAGTCCTCCCTCTGTACAAGCGTGGACGGCACCGCCCACCCACTGCCATCCCTCAATCGATCCAGCCGATCTCAGTCGAAGGACAACAGAGAGCGGTGTGCGGACGTAACCTATACGGAGGGAATGCTGTATTCGCCTAGGTTATAGCGCCCTTGCTCGCTATTCGTTATTCGCTGTCTATAATGAGAAAAACAATGCATGAACTTATAACACGCCCCGCATACACGTAGTACCGATATAAAATGTATATTGGTACTGCGTGTACACTTCCATCATCAAAGCAATTCCTGCTTTGTAGATGGCACGTATTTAGTAGGATGTCTCCTAAAAAAAATAGGATGTCTAAAATCCATAGGATGAAAGTTAAGTCTCATCCGAATCAAATGATTCCAAATGCTACGGATTCATAGAAATTAAGTTTAAATAGATAAAAGTAAAAAAAGGAACAATCTCACCAAATCAGTCCAAGTGAATCCTTTGCAAGCAGCTCTGTCTCGTTTGGTGTAGTAGTTCCGAACATAGACCCGCCTTACGGGGATCAATCCTCAGGTTTAATATAGTCAATTGCTCCTTGACGCAAACACGAAGCGACCGCTCATAATATCATACAACGCATAAATAAACTGAACTTAAAAACTATCACTCGCGATGCCACAAATTTGCACAGATCGTGAGATAGGATTGTATTAGTAAACCAAAAAAATCATCGTAAACGCAAGTAGTGACGTCACTACTTGCGTGTAACGTACAGTGGTTGTGTGAGTGATTGCTTCACCTCGAAAATCCATCTCATTGATGGTGAGGCAGTAGCTCCATTAATTGTATTAGTGAGCATGGTAAGCTAGGTAGTTTAGTCCCGTATGCACGGAGTACCCGACAAGAAATGAAATGAAGGTAGTTGTGACGTCACAATCATGATTATCTGTCTGAAATCAATTGGTTCGTGTGACGTTGACGCATTTCCTCTGCGGAAATGCTTCAAGTCTTGCTCTCAAACTATCACGTGAAACTCCTGTAATATGAATCACATCGGGCAATTTTTTTTTTTAATCTTTATTATAGAGATTTTTAGCCTAAGGCTAGTTCAGCTCCAATCGGGCAATCATAACAAATTCCGAAGGACTTTTGAATATTTTTTTTATCGGAATAATTTTGGTGTGACGATACGTTTTTATCAACCCCCCCCCCCCACCCTCCTTTTCACGATTTGTCACAAAATTTGAAACCCCCCCCCCCCTAAAATCGTGACATAATTTGTGCATGACCGCTTGACGAGCAACCAGATACCACAAATCGACGATCAGATGCGGTGATTACAAAAGCAAATACGTCCCTTCGCAGAAGTAATCGAGAATGTGATATTATTTTGCTCTGGTTTCGCTATTCCCCTCTACCCGGGTACTGACACACGAACGATTTTGTTCTGGCATTCTGTTTCTAGGGTAGTTGTAATCAGTCATTTTGGCGGACCCTTTTGAAGCTCTCATCATACATATGCATATGCATACGTGCACGTTAACAGATGGTGATGGAGACGGATGGTATTTAGTGAATTCCCCACTGGCAAAAAAGCATGAAGCATCGTACAAATTGTCTTAATACGCACCCGACGACGCTTAATCCACGGAAATTCCATTCGAATCCACCCTACCATAAACCATCCATCAATTCTCCTACACCTTCGGTACTGCCGGGAGGGAAAGTGCTGCAGCAGCGCTTTTCCTTCGAATCCGGTAGTTATACCTACACATACACACACACAAGCAGCGAGCACCACCGATTCATCATAATTTCATTCTCATTTTTTTCATCTCGTTCTTCTTTCAGTTTCCCTCCGCCTCTACCCATTGACAGGTGCCCGGGGGAAATCGAACACCCGCCAATCGGGACGGGCAGCGGCCCTAGCGCTGCTGGTCATGAACAGACTAACTGATGCTGCAGTCGAGCTCATCGGAAGCGAAGCGGGTAAGTGACTGCTCAACTGAGCTGGGAACGTTCCCTGGACGTTTCCGGGGGCTGAACGAAAATAGAAACAACGGTGTCATTAGGGTGCTTCATATACAATAATAAATGCAATCTTTAAGATCACCCTCCAGTTACATTCATAACCCCAAAATCTAATCATGTGCTAAACATAGTTAAGATTGATGAAGCTTTAGAGGTCGCGCAAATGGTTCGATGTTTGTTAATAGATTTTTTTTAATTACTTTATTTGTACAGGCTCAATCTATACAATACAACATTAATGTCTTAAGTCTAAAGTTAAAGAAATTGAACCGAACACTCGCGGTCTTCTCGAGGTTGATGGATGACAATTTTATGGATGGGGAGAGGTAGAAGGAGATTTAAAATATGACTTATGATACAAAAAATCACTATTTCTATAACACATACTTAATCGTATTTAACTTTATATCAGCTAGTGAGTAGATTATGACAAATGGGTTTTTTTTACTTTTCACTGCATAACTCTGTTTTTTATCAAATTGACCGAATATCCGTTAAGATTGAGTATGTGGTATCCATGACAACATGATAAACATATTTTTAGCTTTCTTGAATTGCTACCAAACTGATCGTAACAAAACCAGGCTTTTTGGTAATTGTCACAGCAGCTACATATTATTTTTCTTAAGGTTTAGACATTCAGAACTAAATTTAGAGCGATATTTGAGATATTTAATGTTCCTTTATACAAACCATTTTTTTGCACAGGCTCATATTTTGGGACTATAAATCAATCCTATCAGATTGCAAAGACCTTCTTTTTTTCAAAATGAAGCACCCTAAGCGTCATACATCAAACCGGTGCGGGTAGTGTGCTGCCAGAAATAGCAAGGACTCCTCTAAAGGGATTAAAGTCGGGTGGGATATTCGGGAAAAAATTGATTATTTCCACAAAAGCTTCAGCACTGCTACTTATGTTTTTCTTTCGTCCATCCACCTACACGAAAAACGAAAAAGCAATTCCACATTCTTGTTTAACGATCCAACGATTCGGGAAATCAAGCACACCGGCGCGCGGAGTTTAGCATATCGTCGTCGGCTCCTGTCGACTCGTAAAAAGATGGAAAATGAAACGACCAACCATCGCGGAATAGGTAGTCGTTAAAACAAGGTAAATGTTCTGCTTTGTGGCAGTGTGCTTGTGTGTGTGTGTGTAAGTTTGGTTAAGCTTGCAAATGAGCTGTAGAATGACTATTACATGGAGTAGCGACAAAGTGGAAAAGATGAATTCCAAAGAACGGTGGATGGGATGTACGAATGAATTAGGTCTCCAACCCCAGCCAAAATGGAGTGCCTCAATTCAGGTGATGCCGGCAAGTTATGTCCAACGAAATGGCTTGTAGCGAGAAGAAATTATGGGGAATGATGTTCTTGTGGCGATATATTTTCTTTTAAGAGGCGATTAAACCGTGAAAAGTGACTCTGCTGAGCGAGAAGTTTACCACGAGGGATATCGCTTAAGAAAGAACCATAGGTACAGTGCTAATTTCTTAACGTTGCGGTAGCAGATGGGAGTGAGGGGACCAGGCCCTATTCTAAATGATTTTTTTCGGTTCTGCATCTACTATATTGTCCAGTATTTAAAAAAATTTCATGCTGAAAAATCTTTTGGCCTATCATGGTGGTTAGCCATGTTTATTCCATGAGCCAGCTCTGAAAACTGTTATTTTCTAATCAAAACTTAGTGGTCGAGCACGTTTCAATCCACATGCACTCCTCTTATCAAAGATGCGCTCTAAAATGCATAAGGGAATTTTCGGACGACCATATAGATTATATAAACAACAGTGCGTTGCAAAAAAAAAAAACCGTCATGAGAAATATTCTGCCTTAATCCATATCTGTGCTCTCAAATGGGAAATAGAAATAATACAAATTCAGAAAACAAAACGCATGAAAGCATATCCGATTATAAATGTGAAATGAAAAAGGTTTTACACTCATCAGATATAAGACTTGTTGTATACAGTTTGGCTTTATTTTGGCCGCCTCATAAATTCTCATGCACTCCGATATAAACATAGACAAGTTCCTACATCCATAAATGCTTTTTCTTCGGATACCGATTTTCAACAGGCACTCTTGTTAGTGCACACATATTTTTGTGCCCATTGTGATAAAATCAAACGTTTACAAAGTCCTAGAGAACTCAAATTTATTCAATAGTTGCTCTGAAACACAATGTATCTACATGCCAAAATTGAGCTCTCAAGGACGCCCCCTGACGATAATAGGTTAAGGTATTGCCGAAGCAAACTTTTCCCCTATTTAAAGAAGATTTTAGTTCTCGTAATAAACTATATTTGTTTTTGCGTTGTAAAAATGAAGTGAGAAATTCTCGCTGCACATCTCGGACTTTAAGCATAAAAACTCATTGGTGTTGATTCAAATGTAAAGATATCTATGCTAAGCAGCTACGATTCTAATCTATCGATTACTTTAAAGAAAAACAAAGTTCAACAACTGAGTGAAAAGTTATTAACGAATGAGCAGTTGGTGTGTACAACTGTGCATTCCAAGCATGGCTGCAAATCAACTGATAAAGCTGTCATTTTTTTCTGTACACAACAAGGTTGCTATGATTGGCGATGCATAGGTGGATTCAACGCCAAATGGTAGGGTAATCCAGTGTTTGAAGTTTTCACTGCTCACTGAATAATTCACGTGTATTTCCGTAACCGTTGAACCTCAATTTGTCAGTAAACTAAACTGATTTCCTTGTATCGGCGCGACGACAAATCATGGCACATAAAGAAATAGAGTAAAATATATCTTGCTTCATCGATGATTAAATACGTTCACACAAAAGATTTACTACTGACGGTATCATCGAAAGAATCTTTATATTCATGTGTACCATTCGGCATAGATTGTGTGCGTTAGTTTCTGTTCATGATACATCTGCGTATCGCAGTATAACACTGGCGAATGGTTCATATTCAGCAACATGTAATGACACTGAATATGGATGGTCAAAAGCTGTTTTCGTACTGCTAGGTTCCTAATTTTGCGTATATATTTTAAGAAGTATAACCAATTTTTTCCCTTGATTTGGTTTCCGTCGATCTTGTGTTCCGTGCTGAGCACTAAAGCTACCGACGCCAGGGAGGCAGCTCTCACACCTGGACCCTACCTATCGACCCATCAACTCATGAACCGGGGACCAACGGCTTTACTTACATTCGGAGATGTTATGCCTCAGAAAATCTCAGCGGCACCGACTGGGATTGAACCCAGGCCTACTGGGGTAAGTGGTAATCACGCTTACGACTACACCACCGGCGCCGCTAAGTATAACCATTGAAATACTATATTCCTGAAAACTTTTCCACGTCCTTTTGGTCGAAGGTGTCTGCCAGCGCTGTGCCTCTTGGATTGGTGCGTGTATCGCCCCAGATGGGGTGGTGGGCTTTAAGGTCCCCTACCAAGAGCCTAGGCTCAGGTAGGTTACATAACATTTCCGAGATTTGTCCATTGATGTCTGGGATTCTTCCGCACGGTAGATAGGCTGAAGCTACCACGATCCTATAGTCTCCTTCCAGCTGTACACCTACGACGGGTAGGTCGGTATCAAGGTCAATGAAGCTTCTTAGAACGCCTATAGTGGTAGATTGCCGGATGTTATTGCCCCGGACCTTCGACAGGCCGTCCCTGAACTTCGGCAGGACTTCTCTGAACTTCATCAGGACAACCCTGATTTCCAAGAATTGAAATGGCCGGACTTCTCTGAACTACAGCAGGACTTCCCTGAACTTCGGCAGGACTTCGCTGAACTACGCCAGGACTTCCCTGAACTTCGGCAGGACTACGCTGAACTACGGAAGGACTTCCCTGAACTTTGGCAGGACTGTCCTGAACTTTGGCAGGACTTCCCTGATCTTTGGCAGGACTTTCCTGAACATTGGTAGGACTTCCCTGAACTTTGGCAGGACTTTCTTGAAGTTCAGCAGGCCTTCCAGGAACATTGGCAGGACTTCCCTAAATTTCAGCAAAGCTTCCCTGAACTTCGGCAGAATTTCCCTGAACTTCGGCAGGACTTCCATGAACTGCAGTAGGACTTCCCTGAACTTCAGCAATACTTCCCTGAACCTCGGCAGAACTTTCCTGAACATCAGCAAAACTTCCCTGAACTTCGGCACAACTGTGACAGGTTCTATCACTCCAATGGAGAAGGACTTTCTTTCATAGTAGTATCCAAACTATGGTGAGCTGAAAAGCTATCACCAGTAAGGACTACAGTCAAGAGTCTTCAAGTGATTGGTTATGAATCTTTATTTTTGGGTTTCGGATTTGTTTATATAGGGTTTACAATTCTTTACAGTTCTTGGCTTAACGTAATTAATCTATTAGTCAGAGTGAGACAACTGGAGTAGCGTGCCTGGAAAATGCATCTTCGCTAGGTCGGCAATTTCGGTGCCCGGTGGTCCTACCCAGTTGTGCAATATGACGCCTATCGGTATCGAGACTGCATTGGCATGGGTCGAACGATCGAACACGAGAAGAGAGAGAGAGTGTAAATAATTGTGTTCTAACGCCGTGGCGCAACCGGCACATTTGGTCGCGTTTGGCTATGCGTAATATGACCTGTGAGTTTTGGTTCAAGTGGAATGACTTGCTGTGCTTACATGGAGGTTTTTGACTTGTACTTATTTATGGGTTGAAGATGTAGGGATGCACATCACACCTTCCCCCTTTGAGAAAAATGGTGTTATGTAATGAAATGGAATGAGACCATTTTTTTTTTTTTTAACTTTCTCCAGATGTCTCTTTGATGTATGAGTTGAGTTTTGGTTTCGTATATTTTTTTTTTTTTTCAGATACATATATATATATATATTTTTGTGTTGTTTAGTACCAAATTTCTTACGTCTTTTACTTTGAATATTTTTTCTTGCATGTATTCTAGGTTTTAATGAGTCTATTTTTGTGTACTGTTTGCTGTTCTTTTGAAATTAAAT